GCCATCAAGGTGAAGTCAAAGTGGCTGAAGAAGTTGATGATGATGAAGTGGAACCAAATATAGATATCAAAGCAGAACAGGAGAAAGACCAAGATTTGAAGCTAATAATTGATTTTCTAAGAAGCAAGTGCTGTGTGGCCTGCTTGGGAGAAGGTGTCTAGTCTAAGCCCCGTGACAAAGCACTATCGGGCACAATGGGCATAGTTGAAGCTTGAAAATGGCATTCTTGTCCGGAGATGGGAAACTACAGATGGGAAATTGTCGACTTGGCAAACAGTTATACCGAGGAAGTTATGGGAAGTTGTGCTGCGTCAATCCCATGATAGTTTAACAGGAGGACATCTCGGAATTAAGAAGACATTGAGTCACCTACGCCAAAGATTTTACTGGGTAGGTATGAGGCAAGATGTGGAAGAATGGTGCAGGACATGCAGTACATGTAGTGCTAAAAGGGGACCCAAGCATAAGGGATGCCCACCTTATGATTCGATGAAGTTAACTTATGATAAGAGATCTACTGAAGTCAGCTTTGTACCAGGAGACAAGGTATGGTTTTATAATCCCAGGAAGACCAAAGGGGAGTCTCCTAAGTTGTCTTCTCCATGGGAAGGCCCATATGACATAGTGGATCGTCTCTCAGACGTGACTTTCCGGGTAAAATGTGGTCGGCGAGGTAAGCCAAAAGTGGTGCATGCCAACAGGCTTTGGTGTTATCACGGCCCAGGACATTTCAGTTGGGACGACGTGGACAACACAACAAATGACGCTGCTGAAGACGTGCCACCTGAAGAAGCCAATGTTGAAGAAGAAACTCTACTCAGTTTTGAGAAGAGAAACGGTGAAGCTCTTGATGAAGTTACTACCACTGATGTGACTGTTACTGACGATAGGACATTTCCTGATGAAACAGATGAACCCCACGTGAAGCAGAAGCCAACGAGACGGAGACCAGTACGGAAGAAGATGCGTCCCGTAAAATTAAGAGACTTTGTTGAATTGTAATTTTGTGTTTGTAATTCTGTACCTTTAATTAAGTTATTGTTAAGTGTTATTGGTTTAATGTAAGTGGCTATTGTTCGGGACGAACAATACTAAGGAGGGAGCAGTGTTGCGTCAGCGAGGTCACGTGACTAGTATCACGCCACGTCCTTCTCGAACCTTCATGAATTATCGGGAGACTACTGGATTGGGGGTAGTCTGGTATATATAAGACGTTCACAACGTGACGGGACAACAGATGTAATGAGTAATTGAATGTATGCTGACAAAATATTGTTGGCCACGTGAGACGTGAGTTATAGCGTTGTTATAGAGTGACTGTTGAAATTAAGTGTACCGTAAAGTTGTATTCGGAAAGAATACACCAGTTTTATTTAAGAAAGGACTTGTGTCGCTAAGGTTTCGTCGGAACGAATTTACGGAAAATTAATTAACAAACGGAGACGTAACAGTTGCTTAACGAATTCTTTTTTGAAAGTTTATAAACCAATTCAACAGTTTCGTTTAAATACACAATTTATTTTAAAGTAAGTACGATCCCATATATATGTACTTAATTTTTAACCTGGACAGTAACATCTCCACAATGTTAAGCCTAAAATCCCACATTTTGAAAGAAGATCTCTTCTACATTAGCTAAGTGATCCTGGATCTTTGTCACGTTCACTAACACACACAGAGTAAAGGAAGTCATTAAGGAAATACAACTGTGACACAAACAATGAGTTAATTGCACTAACTGCTAAATTTATTGTTAGTGAAATACATGATCACAGAAAATACAGCAGAAAAGCGAAAAGTTATACAATACACTAGCATTTTGTATTTGCTTTACACCTTGTTTTTATACCAGCATAAGTTTACTGATGTATCATTGTGAATTATTGTTCCAAATGTCCTGTGTTACTCCCTAGTACTCAGCAACGTTGTTTGATCTTACGAATTTTTATACAAGCGCATACATCCCTAACAATATTCATATCTGGAAATGTGCAGGGCAAGCCATGACTGCTAGTGAACTATGTTTTTTGTTAGCTAGGTGAAGAAAGAGATGGCCAAAATTATCGAAAAGTTGAACATAAACAGCAAAAATCAAGATTGAAAATGTCAGGTCAACTCCAAATTCCCGAGGTTTACAATAGGGCCAACCCATGCCATTGACGAAGCCATATATTACCACTGTTCAATGCTAATATATTCACGTCAGCCCTACCTCTTTTAAAATATTTCACACATTTATGCTCGGTAATGATATAAAAAAAGGAGCTCTCTTTAAATAATGCCAATATATTTTTGATTAATCAGTTGAACATAAAATTAATAAACTAGCAATTATTATTTGTTTGTTTGTTTGAAGTTAAGCACAAAGCTACACAATGGGCTATCTGTGCTCTGCCCACCAAGGTATCGAAACCCGGTTTCTAGCGTTGTAAGTCCGCAGACATGCCGCTGTGCCACTAGGGGGCGGCAATTATTAAGCGAGATACTACTGAACAATTTTAAGATGGTTTAATGTTCACACTTTTTATTTAGGAATATAATACACTTTGCTTAAACTTAATAAATTTCCCAATATAATTTTCAATACGTTGTTACACATAGATATGTATAGAGGAAGTCATCTACTCACAGTTTTAGGCCAAGGTAGTTTCATAATCATTATTTGAAAATCCTAAGTTCAATTCAACTACGAGAATGTTCTTAAACTGTTATATAAATGAGTTATAACAAAGTTAGGAGATAATTTATATATATATATAATTTATCCTCCACTTAAGTATGTGGTACAACATAGGGTGCAATCGAAAATTCTAACGAATTTAATTTTCCGCACATACAATGGCGTCAGCGGTGATGTAACTGATGCAAACTTAAAACTAACTTTCTTACACTCTTGTGTGATATCCATACACGTGATTGGTTTTGTTTGTTTGTTGAGCTTCCCGCAAAGCTTCTCGAGGACTATCTACGCTAACCGTCCCTAATTTAAAATTGAAGGACTAGAGGAAAAGCACATATTTAACACCACCCGCCAACTCTCGGATTAGTCTTTATCAACAAATATCGGTATTGAACATCACCACATAACTCCCCAGAGATGAAAAAGTGAGCATGTTCGGTGACGGGTTTCGATCCCACGATCCACATATTGCGTGCCGAGCACCCTAACCACTAGACTCCCCATGTGACCTGCACCCTGGTGTTTGTTTGCATTTCTCTCACTGGTCAAGTCATCTGTCTCAAGTATAGCGTCTAGTTGGAAGATACTTCTATCTTCTGCATATTAGCAGACGATTTACTTGGAAAGGTCGTTATTAGAAGATTCTCTGAAAATTGCTGGAAAGATTCTGATAAGAAAATATAGGTGTATCAGTCATTTTAGCGGCGTATGTTTTTATCACATTAACCAAACTGGGTTTCAGCTCCCTGCATTTTCATAAAAAAAAGTCACTGACAATACGTAATAAGCTAATATTTTCGAAGGGCCTTAAACACACGTAAATGTTAAACAAAGTTAGGCCTCATATTTATTTTCGTACAATTTTGCAAAATTTTAATACAGATTTTTGTCCTTTGTTGTGCGCTGTAGACTAACAGAAGTTAACCAATAATTTTGTATAAACAGAATGACTGCTCTGTCGTTTATATGGGCATAACACGACGTCCTCTAACCAATCAAAAATGAATATAGGATAACAATAACGATATAAAAATGTTTTTTTTTTATCTTATTGATAAGAAGTAGAACAAAATATAATACTTTTTATTATATTTGGATTTTAATATTTTTAAAATTATCTATCGATGCTTTGCTTCTTAGCTTACCATCTACTTAATTTCGGGTATTAATGATTTTAATGTGATTTAGAAATATAAAATAATTGTATGAGTTGCATCAGTTATTACATGGCCAAGTTAATATGGCGGAGAAGAGTTTTTGTTTTGTTTTTTAATTTCGCGCAAAGCTACACGAGGCCTATCTACGCTAACCGTACCTAATTTAGCAGTGTAGGACTAGAGAGAAAGCAGCTAGTCATCACCATCCACCGCCAAATCTTGGGCTACTTTTTTACCAACGAATAGTGGGGTTGACCGTCACATTATGACGCCCCCACGGCTGAAAAGGCGAGCATGTTTGGTGGGACAGGGATTTGAACCCGCAGATTGCGAATCGAGGTGGAGATGGGAAACGACATCTTGTTCAAGTTTTGGAAGATAATCAAATATTTTCTTGGATCAAACTTTAACCGCGATTAACTCCAGGAGTATTGTTTTTATTGTCGTCAACGTCTCATTATTTCGCCTCCATCATAACTCCTGTTTAGTATTGTGTAGCAGCGGCGAGCAGTCAGGGCATGCAAGTCATGCACTGCATGACCAGTCAGAAAATTAAAAATGTGGTGATAACATTATACAATGAAATGTGTATTATATATATATATTATTCTTATTTTACCGTTTCTTTATTGTGTGTTTCTTTGCACTGCGACAGCATTCTCATCTCATGTTGCGAGAGCTCTGCATGTCTAGTCTCAATCATGTCATGCTACGCGAATTCCGCATGCCTAACCAGTATCACGTTTTTTGGAGTGACATCGCCGTCACTTGTTAGTAAAATCGCGCAAGTCATGTTGCGTTAAAATAGCATGACCGCTAGTGCATGCGCAGAATTTCAACGTCAACAACGTTCAGGTCGCATGCTTTGCTTGGCTTCGATTGAATTTTGTGATTTGTTTATATATTTATTCCATTTTCAGTGATATACTTTGTATACATGTAAGGGTATATGGGTAACGGGTGCTCCAACAAATTGTACCGTTGTTATAAACCGTGGTGATGGTGAAATACAGTCACCAAAATATTGATAAAAAACAAATAAATCCAAATTGTAAATATTAAGTTTGAATAACTGTCAAAGTTAATATAAACAGTAAAAAGTATTTTAGTATCTATTATTAGCGGTGTTATATCGAACGAACAAGTAGAAAAACTTCAGAGTGGATTTAATAAAAATCAGAAGGTATTTCACTTGGAACAATGCATACAAAACTCATATAGGGTATAATGTAGCTAGTTAATACATAAGATATATAATAATCTGTGCATAACATATTTACAGTGTTAACTTAGAGCGTAAGAAAGTAAATGAATATGTGAATATTTAGAAAATGACTGAAATACGTATATGACATTGAAGCAATTAGTTTGGTGTTTGCTCCATAGAGGGCAGCACAGAGTTTCTCCAGGTGATTCATTACTGCGGCAACCAACACCAGCAATGATACTGAAAAACAGAACAGAATAAATAATTTTAACAGTCGAGTTACCTTGTGGGGAAATAAAAAATATAGGCAATAAAAATGCGGTGTATAAAATATACTATAGGTACACATTTGAAACGTTTAAACAAGTCACAGAATTTTACCCATTTGCCAAAGCTGTACTTGATATGCTACATTTAAAATAAACAAAAAATAAGAAGTCACATTGCTTTTGTTAAACCCAATATGTCTATAGGTGTCCACATACATCTCTCAATTGAACTTTCAACGATATTCGTGTTTTAATTGGAAACATGTAAAGATTTTTTTGTTGTAATTGAAAAGGCCAAAAATATTTGAATAAAACAAATTTACAAAAACACCAATGATGTAAGTTTATTTTTAAAACTATGACGTTTGTGTGTGTGTGTGTGTTGAGGTTGGAAGATGGAGTGTAGGGGGTGGGGTGGAGCAAACTCCAATCACAAAGATGATAATGAAACTATTCTACTTTATGTTTTGATGAATATGTACAATTAGTAGTCATATGTTTACATATATATATACCAAAGGCTGTCATCAGAAGGAAAAATTTGAAGAATTTTAACTAACTGTTAATATGGTAATCAAGAAATTAGTCTATGAAGATCATATGATTAAATTGTTTAAAAACAATAAACTAACAAAGTTCAAATTTCCATGTTTAATATCTTCTAGAAACACAAGACCTGGTGCCACAATTTACAGAAATATGCACAATTTAGAACAACATTTTTACAGTATTGCTATTGCAGATTAAAAATAGCATAAATTAAAATTAAGCAGAAAATTTTGAATTTTCAAATGTTCAAGATTGAGTTCAAAAGCATCAAAAATAAATTTCAACAATTGTTATTATGCGTTCAATATGCGCAATGGTTACTGTGACTCGTTTTCATTTGTTAATATTTACCCGGATTGTGAGTTTTAAATCATTTTGACAGTCGGAGTATCAAGGTCACTAATCTTAACATCGTGTTGGTTGTGGTTTTCTGAAGACAAATCGCTTTAGGCCTCGTTTCGTGCAGGAAATTCACACCTGGTGGAAGACATTTAATAAATTTGCATAGGAACTGAGCAATTCTATCACTTTGGTTCAACATTGTTGTAGTGGGCTAAAAGTATACTATTTAATTCTTAAAATGGAAATGACCGGTAGGGAAATACTTCTCATATTGTAAAAGTAAATAAGTTGGGGCAAATTTAACACTAACCGTAAGTGTAAGTAGGAATGGACCAATACATATTACGAAACTAATACATCGCCAGGGTTACTAAGTTAATGTGCCATCTGGTGGAGTTGAAAGCAGACAAACAGTAGGAAAAAATAAAAATGTTTCGCTTTTTTATTTAGTTTACCGAACGATTGTTTGTTGTTAAAAAATAAAATAAAATAATCAATTTCAAACATAGAAAATATAACTTAAGAATAAGTTTTGTAAATATATATTTAGGTATTTTATTAATTCATACATTTTTACACATTACGTTACAGTAAAATATGTTTGCATGCATCAGTTATAATAGATTATTTGAGTATTTTAATAAAGACGCAATAAATAAATCACTAGCACTAAATACCTTAGTAGTTTGTTAACGTCTTATTTTTAATTAATTATGGAATTTTATTGACCTAAATCAATCTAATTCTTAAATGTCTTAGATTATATATCAGGTGATGATGACAAAACATTGTCGAAACATTGTACATTTGCTGTTATGTTAAACTTATATTAAAGTTTTTCTTCATTATCCATTCTAGCCGTCTCCAACCATTATTAGTCTCAAAGTGGGTTCCTCGTCATCGAATTTACATTATATGTGTTCTATATATATTTCTGGAGCACAATTATATTGTTATTTAAGTCAAGCATGACTTGGCTAAATAAAACTTATAATAATAATTACACTTTTACTTACTTAGTTTAGTTCACACCATTACTGTTGTTGTTCATGTAATTGGTAATAGAGTCTTGACCACTACTATATTCTGTCTTACCCCAGCTGACCTGATGAGTCTTATATGGACTAGGCTTAGTGTAATTCTTTATGAGTGAACACCCAATTTAATTATGGTTGACAAATTGTTACGCATTCATCTTTGTTTTAATTCACCAGTTCTTATTATTTATTTAAAGATTCATTATTTTACGTGTAGGTTATGAAACATTAATTATTAAGAAATTATTGTTTGTTTGTTATGGATTTCGCGCAAAGCTACACGAGGGCTATTTGCGCTAGCCGTCTTTAATTTAGTAGTGTAAGACTAGAGGGAAGGCAGCTAGTCATCACCATCCACCACCAACTCTTGGGCTACTCTTTTACCAACGAATAGTGGGATTGATCGCACATTATTACGAGCATGTTTGGTGTGACGGGGAGTCGAACCCGCGACTAGCAGATTGCGAGTCGAGCGCCCCAACCACCTGGCCATGCCGGGCCTAAGAAATTATAATCAAAAACACAGCGAATCATATAGATAAGAAATTACAAGTAATATATCAGTTAATGAAGTCAATGATTCATCATAGATCAATACACAAGAAAATCAAAACTCATAATGATTAAATAGATTAGGATATATTACAAGATGTTTACTTTACTTTGGACAGGTATGTTGGTATCAGAAATTTAGGGTCGCAAGTTGTGAAATAAAAGTTTCTCATTGACGTCATGGGTGGATTTTTTTAAAGGGGGAGGAGATGGAGTGGATATCCGCTCTTCTTTTTTCCAAAAATGTTGTTCTCTGGGTATTTGATTGCCCCCCCCCCATCTGGAGGATAGGTGCATTAACTCCTTTCAGCTTTATAATCTATTTTTGACCCCCTGTGGAAATTTGAGGCCCAGTGGCGGTTGATACCTTTCCTTTCTCGAATTTTTCTCTAAATTTTATAATAACAAACTAAGGTACCCCAATATGGACGTCCGCAGAAATTTTTCCAGGGAGGGGCAAAATAATATGAAATTGTGGATTGCATATAAAATTCGTATACATATGTTGAATGGATAAAGAAAGAACTATCTTTCTTATTTTCCCGGGGGGGGGCAAGTGCATCTCGCCCCCCCCCCCCCCCCCCGTGACGTCCATGTACCCAAATCAAAATTACTGCCAAGAATGGGGTATTAGAAATTTCTGTAAGTATATATTTCATGACTTACTGACGTTCAAATTTAAATATCTTTATGGACTAGACTTAGAGTGAAATCTTTAGTGTAATTCTTTATGAGTGAACACCCAAGTCACAATTCTACTCCCCTTTAACATAACTGTATAAGTCCCACTGTGTTGTAGTATTTAATTTTATTATTTTTATAATGGCATCTGTCTGCACCCATTGTCGTTATTTCTTTCACTTACGCAATATTACTTAATTCTTTGCAAAAAATTTTCTTATTGCTCATAAATTTACAGAAAAACTTTTACATATTGTGGTATTCTAAGGTGCAGTGATTTACCTTAAGGTAGGTTCCGCAGACTAACAGGAGATCCGACAGGAAATGTATGACGGAGCAAATATGAATTGTCTGACTTCGAATAAGTTTGAAGAAATAAAAGTGGGTAGACCCAATGCATGACAAAACTAAATAATCTTTATTCGGCACTCAAAAACAATCAAAGTTAGTGCTGGCAGTGTCTTTAACTGGATAGATCTCTCTATACAGTTAGAATCAAGATGTTGTCGAAAGTTCTATATATCTGTTCTAGACTGAGAAAACATAGCATTATATATATATATATACACACAAAAAATAAACAATGCTATTTTTTCTCAGGATGCGCGCGCTACCCACGTGACTGTTGGTCATTTTCAAAAAAGGACGATTGTATCTTCGAGGGATCATCTGACCTGCCAGTAAAGAGGATCACTGGTTATTTTCGCACATTATATAAAACTTAGACGAATCTTTCTCACGAGAACACACAAACGATACCTTAGGTGAATGACCTAGAACAATAGATAGCTAGGAAAAAAGCACTCAGCTACTTTCTTAACCGAAGTTCTGTACTAAACTAAATACACCAACATAAATGAAAATTTTGAAAAAAATTATATAAAATCGGGGGAGGGGGAGAAAACATGTGGTATGCCTGCATACCACATTATTAATAAGAATAATAGATAAGATAAGATACAATTAATGGATATTATTGTATTTGAAGAAGTTGTTTAATTTGCACACTTGCAATAAGTAAATGATTAGGATATTTATATACAAGCAGTGCAACTAGCTTCTTCAATGATTTCTGTATTGGATAAAGTTTGAGCTTTATTGAAATAGCAAATAATATATATATATATATTCTATCCATAGACAGGGGCGTAAATAAAGATATATTCTATACATAGACAGGAGCGTATATAAACATATATTCTATCTCTAGATAGGGGAGTATATGCGCATTTTATCTATAGACAGGGGCAGGGGCATATGTGTGTATACTCTATTCATAGACATGGACGTATGTATATTCTATCCATAGATAGGGGCGTATGTATATTCTATTCATATACATGGACGTATGTATATTCTATCCATAGATAGGGGCGTATGTATATTCTATTCATAGACATGGACGTATGTATATTCTATCCATAGTTAGGGGCGTATGTATGCTATATTCACAGATAGGGCTTATCCAGGATTTTTGGTAAGGTAGATTGTTGTTCCACCAGGTTACGAAACCTTGTAGAAAAAAAAAAATTTCTAAAGGTATATTTGATCGGTAGGCCATTGGAAACGAGGAAAGGGGTGTAGGAAGTAGATCCTCAATCCCAACCCCTGTATCCGCCAGTAGTATTAAAACTAAGATAGTATTATTAATTTGTTAATGATTGTTATATTAAATATTTTATTCAAGACCGGAGTATGAAGTGATAGAATATCTTTACGAATTTTAACTAAAAAGTAAAAACACAACAACACTGGTATGAAATAGGTTGTGTGTATTTTTTTACGTTGCCACGTGTAACCACGAGGAGGCGGAAGTACTTGGTAGTGTCCTTGACCAGTATTCAGTAGACGACTTGGGACATCTCCCTGCGCCTTGTACTTCCGTGACTGAACCGAATATCAAGTAGCTGTTGCCGCTAGTGGCGAAAGTCAATCTGTGGAAAGCGAAAGTGTTGGCAGAATGGCGAACAGTTATAACGTCTGGCCAGGCGTATTGTACGCATTGCATGGCTGATAGTCCAAGTACAGACTAGACTGTCTACAAATGGTCATCAGTTTCTCATTTACGACATATGCTAGATAAATCATAACACGAAAACTGCTAACACGCTATAGCAAGAAATTTGTTTAGGCTGCTTGTGAATCTGGGCATGAAGCCACAAGTATTCGTATTAGCGTATAAAAAATACCACGCACGTGAAACAAGACATTCTAGCCGGCACTAATGGGGTGGGATCAGGGGACGGCCCCTCTGAGATGTCGTAGGACCCAAGCTAATGCCGTCCATTAATATAATTTTACACTTAATTTAGATTTGGCCCCATTATACGTCTCATTATACTCCACCCACCCCCGTTAAGGAACGCTGGATATACAGGACTGTCTAGCCATTTAATTTCTTAAAATATTCACGCACACCACAACTCTATGGCATTCCTAAACCACACAAACAGGACTGCCCCCTACTGTGAGAGCCCAGGCTATGTATTTGCCAAGATTGTAGTTGAATGAATCATAAGTGGACAGTATAGGTCCCCATATGTAACATCTGCAGGTTCATTTTTTAAAGATGCCTTCAATTTCAAATATACACTAGAACAATTAAATTCGAAAGCCTTAATGATTAGTTTTGATGTCGTGTCACTCACTCTTCACCGAAGTCCCCGTCAATGAAGTTTGCAATATTGCACTCAACCTCTACATTAATGACCCCAACAAGTTAATGCACATCCCCAGCACACTTTTTACTTCTCTCTTAGAATTTACAACGACTAAAACCAACTTCATTTTCAACAACGAACATTTCCTTCAAATAGATGGTTTAAGTATGGGCAATCCTGTTTCACCCGTTCTTGCCAATATATTCATGACCAAGATCGAAACACAAGTCATACATTCTGCGCTTCATATACTGGTACAGATATGTCGATGACACTTTTGCTGGTTTCACTTCTACACATTAACTTTCTTTAAACACATAAATTCCATTCATCCCAACATCA